GCGCTCTGTGCAGTGCGCCGATCATCCAAGATGACCCCTTGCAGGAAGCATTTTGATGTGTGTTGCAGTTACCATACAACACCATCAGTCAGTTTGGCTAGAAAGAAATGGGTGGCACTGGTTTTGCGGGTTTTATATCATCCATTTCCCAGAAAAAGGCCACCCATGCAGGTGGTCTTTTTAGCTCAGCTGGGGTAAACACAGATGGTACTTGTTTGGATGTGGGTATTATGCACCGGGGAAACAAAAAGGGCACTGATGGAAGTGATCAAGGGGCCTTCCCGCAAGAAAAAGTGGTCTCCAAAACCCTGTCCCATGGGTTGCGACGCCATGTCCCTGTTTTTTTCCGTCCCGGTTTTAGGCCCTGGACGACACCTCCACGCGGCTCCGGGCAGGGCTGTGCGAAGTGCAGAACTCGTACACCCGGAAGGCGGTCACCAAGTCAAACCGAGTCGGAGCAAGCGAGACGTGTGTGGGACAGGACTTAAAGGGTCGACCGATTACCTCAGCTAAGTGGTGATCGTGGAATAACCCACTGAACGGAGACTTAAAACCATGGCTTGTGTGGGTCATAACCAGGCTTACTAACCACTTGCTAAGTACCCTGCCCCTTCAAGTAACCTGAGGGTTCCCAATGTTACCCCCAGTTGGTGGTGGTTTGCGGTTCGGATGAATGGGAACTGGATTTTGATTTGATTCTTTGACTTCTTTTGACCCTTTCACCCAGAACAAAGCACAGTCAAATCCTCGGTCAATTGGTCAATCAATTGGTAAGTTGGTGCTGGCAGCTAGGCATACCAGTTTTTAGGCGGTTTTTTTCATGCTTCTGTACCCTGAGATTGTCTCCGGTGCATCATTGTGCGTCTACACTCTGAACGAAAGCGGTGTAGAGCATGATGTACGAGCTTTGCCTGTTCATGCCTGAGCCCACGCTCTACAGGAGTGAAGCAGGTTCAGCAACAGGGGGTTAAACAATTGTTTTATAAGACACTGGAGTCACTGGATGTCCCCTTCAAAAGTTGCAATTTACTGGTGGCGTCTATTAAAACGATCGCAACTTTTGGAGGTTCCAACCAGGGACATGGCTCGGAAACCCTGAGACGGGGACTTTGAGTTTGCGCCAAGGCACATGTATGACGATCTCACGGGACTCCAACGGAGCTACACCCTGACGAAAGTTTAAGGCATCATATGTGGGGAGTCCCCTCATCAAACATGATCTGATTCATCTGAGCGACACACCCAAATCATAGGTGTCCTTTTTGGTTGGTTTGCTAGAAAAATCGTTTGCGATTCCTGGTTTTTGTTTGGTGGTTTAATCATCTACCAGGGAAACCCATCTATTTGCCCTAACAGGACACCTATGACCCAAAGTATGTCACAACCAAAATTCGCTTCAGGTGACCTGGGTAATCCGGGAGGCGTCCAAGAAGATTAAGCGCCCGCTCCTGGCGGGGGCTCCGAGTGGACGTGTCGTGTGGGTGTGTCGTCCTTCGTTTGGAGAGTACCCAGGTTCTCTACTCCAGAATTAGCTCCCCCTAGGTTTTTTCCGGTAGTGCCCTTTTTCTTCTTTGGGGGAGGGCCCTTACTAAAATGGTCTACAGAAAAAAGAAACGGTACCCTTCTTCTAACCTCTCTACTGGAGGACCTAGTCCCCTTTTCGATGGCTTCGCTTTTTGGGGGTCCCCTTTGGTTTCCAGGGGCCAAATGGGGTCCGAATTCCCGCCATGTTCTCTGTGTGTGTTTGTTAAAAGGAACGCCAAGGGAGAACCACAATTTTAGGGGGTCCCCCAAAAAGACACAACTATGGCTGTCTCGTTTTTTCTTTCAGGAAGGTCTGTCAAGAGCATGACGTGGGCTTCATGCTCGCGATTGTGAAAGGGCGGCATACTCTTTATCAGTCGGATCGATAGCCAAGGTTGACATGAGTGACTATAGTGGTTTATTGCATTGGACGATCTTCACGTGCATCGAAGCATTGATGCAGTCAATGAGTCAGTTGAATTCATTTGGCTGGGTGTCAGAATGAAGGCGAGTTTCGTCAAATTCTATTTGACTTCCTTTCGGAAGAAGCAAGTACTAGGAGGGGGCTTGTCAAAGAGACCCAGGATGCTCACGTCATTGAAATGCAACATGGCCGCCATGGCCGCCATGGTCGAAAGACCAGGCCACTGAGTTTGAGAGTGGCCGGATTTCAGCCGCCCATCACCAGTGTTCTCTCTTTGGAATTTTCACAATTTCCCATTGGCTGAGCTGTGACCCCAACTCAAATGCCTCGTGATATTGCCTGATTTCGAGTTGGTGAACAAAAATGCCCTTGCTTGAGCATGAGCGACCTCGGAGGCTCCGCTAGGGAGCCGAATGGCGGACTCTGCCGTGGCGCAGCCGGCGGGTTCAGAGAATCACTCACGGCATGCGCCATGGTGAAAACACCTGGTCACTTGAGTCTCATGAGCTCGACCGCGCGCGCAAATTTGGAAAGTCATATGACATGTGCATGAGGTTCCAGACTCGCAATAGGGAAGCCAGTAGTGTATGTCATACAAGAAAATACGGATGTTTGGTTGGGCATCATCCCGAACTCATTTGAGGATGACGTGAAGATCCAGCCACATGTGAGCTGGCGGCGCGCTGAGCACTCGAACCTGAATGGTCTCGGAATCCTTGACTGGATGATCCCTTGCTTAGTCCTCATGGTATTTGGAAGCGTTTCACAATAGGGGTCCCGAGTTGTTTCCTTTTTTTGATGTTTAACGAGGGGGGTACTCTGGAAAGGACCGCGGTACTTTTAAACATCACCTTCTTGGCCCATAGGTGAGTGTCCCTTGGTGGGGGGTAATGTTTTAAGGGGAAATATATTGCGAACCTTGTGTCAAGTTGAACATGCCTGGTTGTTTTTGTTGGCTTTCTCTTGATGCCCTTTGAACGCCATTCAAACACGAGCCCTTGACTCACATCCGAAGCAGTTGCAGCCTGCCTTGTGCATTTCCGGTGGCACGAGGGCTTGACGGTGTATGCCCAAAGCCAGCGCACCCAAACACTCGATTCACCATTTGAATAGGCGGTTTCATGGTGGGCAATAGTAAAGCCTAATATGAGCAGCGGTCTTTGTTTTTTTTTTAACTGTCATCTTTTGCAACCGGGACAGAGGTCACAGTCGCCAAATTGCCGCTCTGGTTGAATCGAGTTCTTGTCTTTCTGCCAGTCGAAAAACAGGGCAAGCCGTTTTGCCGAGTGGGAAACTAGTGATCAAGTATCTCAGCAGTCTTGCTGGTGCTCAGGAAGGAATGACCCAGGGTTTTGGGAATGAACCGGAAGGTCAAGGATTCCAAATCGTGATGTTTTCTCGTGGTCATTTTAATTCTAGTTTTCTGCCTCGAACCAGCAAGTTTTTTCTCCGCCAGGGTGGTTGTTTTGAGGTCGGTTCTTTTTTCACCGGGGAGACCAAAAGACAACAACGACATCCACATGTGGGGCCCGATTTTGACACCTACCAAATCGCTTGGGTCTGTCCCCTTGTTGGGTAGCCCTTTTTGGCAGGTTTTGAAGGAAACCAAAAGCAAACCACCCATTTTCGGGGGGTGCTATATTTTGAGACACACCCATTTTTGCAAACCAAGCCTGGAACCTTAGGTGGATATTTTTGGGGTTCCCCTATACTCACTTCCTGAGTTTGTGGACGTTAAGCTTTTTGGGAAGACCGTGTTAGTGGTAAATACTGTAGAAAGCTTGGACTTTTTTAATCCACCCAAGAAGTGGGTATAAAAGCAGAGCCATTTCTGCCAACCGGCGACCCAGCCTTAGGTTCTCGCCCCAGTTCGACGCGGGCGGGTGCCACGGTCTACAGCTGGAGCTTCAGGCGCCCCTCGAACACCGTTTCCGAGAGCGCGTTCTGCCGCCCACGTTGAGAACTTGGGGCAAGGCTGTTTTATGGCCCCCCCCTGAAGATGTCAAGATGGTTGTGTTACTTTAAAGCAACCCAAAAAAAGGAGCACCCTCGAAAAAAGACAGATCCGTATGCTGGCTTGTGGGGGTTGGGCTTGTTGATTTGTTGGTTAGTGGATGTTAGGGAATTAATTGGTAGATGCAGGTTGCATGTTCAAAGTGTTGACAAACAGCATAGATATGGAATAGTTTAAGTGTGCATGGTTATGTCTTCTTGCATAACAGGACCTGACTCTGTTGGGTTCAAGCACTTGTGCGCAGCAAGTCAGCAGCCGAGTGTTATGACAGGTGCATCTTGGCAGAGTCATTGCGTGACATTAATCATTAAGGTAAACTGGCAAGTGGGCCAGCACAGAGGCTCCACTGGCGATATGGGTGTGTTGTTTGTAGGGGACCTTAAACATCGTGGTGTTTGTTGTGGTTGTTGTTAAAACCACCAATCAAAAGGGGTACCCTCCAACCAAAGACAAACTAGACTCATTCGGAGCCGGGTTGAATTCGGGAAATCCACCTGCCAAGATCTGCTTTGGGTCCCTGGTAGCCTGGGCCTGCACTTTTCTGTCCGTTGAGCTGGGCACGTCCTCAAAACCAATCCGGGTACTTGGAGGGTAAGGGACAATCCCCTTGCCATGGGTGCGGAATTCCTTGGTAATTCTTGAAGCGCTGGAGATCGACAATTTTATTACTGGCTCTTGATTACCATTTTGTTTGCTTTTGTGGGGTCCCTTTGTTTTCCACTAACCAGGCAAAAGTTCCTGATTGTGTTGCCCCTGGAGCCATGTGGATTTCAGCATCGAATCCCTTTTCGAAAATTGATCCCTGTCGGACTTGTGCGGCTGGTGAGCCAAAGCACCTGAGTTGAGAAGATCTCTATTCTAGGCTGGAATTAGGACCCCAGCAAACAAATATATTTCGCACTTTGTGCGAGCACCCAGGGCGCTGTTTCATGGTGGCACCATGCTTTGCAGTTGGCTTTCTGTTGGTTCCTCCTGGAAACACGAGATCTCGCCAGGTGTTCCGTATCCAGGATCCACCCGTGGACGGTCAGGAGGCGCGCCCGATCGCGCCCGCATGGGCAAACCGTTGCGGCGCCGGCCTTTCCGTGGCCTTTCCAGAAAATGTCCGAAATGCGTTAAGAGCTGGCTGGTGAGATAGGGAATGAGTTGGAATGAACCGTTTTGGGATTCCCTTAAAGAAAACATCCAGTTGGATAGTTTATAGGGATCATTCCAATTCTCATTCCCTGCTGAGGAATCAGCAAGAAAAGGAATTTGCAAAGTTCCCAAGATCGAATCCATCACTATACTGGCCAGCCAAAAGAATCATAAGCTCACTAAACCCCATCAATGAAATGTGTGCAACAACGAACCAGCTCTGTCACCTCTGTGTTTGCTTAAAGTGTGTTGCATCCGGTTCAAGGAACTTCCATGCAGTTGTGCCCAAAGGAGTTCATTGCCATGGTGTCCATTTGGGAAAGTAATCGGAGTCTCCGTTTCAGAATCACCAAATCAACTTGGTGGCTCCCAGCCATCCGGTTCCTTAGCTTTTTAGCCTTTTGGTGTTTAGTGGTAGTTTCCGTTTGACCCATTAAAAGGCGGGGGATCTGAGAGCAGCCCAGTCAAGGCAAAAAAAAATCAACACACTTCAGCGGATGGCGCCTCAAAACCGGCTTCGTGTGAAACCGTGAAGCCAGCATAGTATGGGTTTCCAACTGACTGAAACAGCCGCCCCAGGGCGTTTTGGTGTGATCTCTTTGCTCAGGCTCTATCGTCCCTACTGACTCCACTCCGTAAAAATCGACAAACTCGTGTTTTGAGAGGACACAAATGATTTGTGGTGTCTGTTTGCAAGTCAAACTGTCACACAGTAAGACATATCAGTATTCGCAGCCTGCGCTGATCAGGACTTTGACTGTGTGGCGTTTTATTATGCAGCTTGACGAGCTGAGGTTGTTCGGGAAATCTCGTGCTGCTCGGTATATAGCCCACAGCGCGGTTGCCGACAGCTCTCGGTCTTTCATTACTAAAGTTGTTGGCGTGACGTTCATGTTGGACGGCAGCAACCTTTCGGGGGTCAATAGCACTATTTCCTGCCTGCACCCTTCCTTCCACACACTTAGTAACTGTGAGAGGGTACCTGAAGATCGATTTCCTTTTTTAAGGGACCCGCCCTTCGCATTTTCTCGGCACATCTACAGGTATCATGGCCTTATCAGCTTCCCAGGTGGGCGACTGCATGGTGTACCTCTGGGCTACGAAGGGCTCCAATCTGGTCTTCAAGCTGGGGCTTGGCGGCAAGTGGGAGACTCAAGAAGCTGAGGCAAGTATCCACTCGACTCGACAAAACATGCGCAAGACTGCAAGACATACGCAAGACCATACTGTGGATGCCACTTTGAAATTGTGGGAAACCATTGTTTGTTGCTATTTTCAGGGGAATCATTATTCCAGGGTTTCTTAGGTGGTGCAGGATTTGGTCCATCCACAGTAGGATTTGACATCTCAAGCAAGACTGCAAAGGTCTACACGATTTCTTCAAAGAATGATGCCTGCCGTGCGCGCGCGTTGCGACTTTTAAGATGGCGCTTGGAACTCGCAACAACCATCTTGCACATTGCAGGTCACTTGCGCCACACCCAGTTATTGGCCTCAGTTGGACCCTTTTTGTAGGGGCCCTGCTTAGCAGTTGCGCACAGGCTGCCTTTTTGCCAGTTTCGTGTCAGGTATATTCAAGGCGATCGAAAGGCTTACAAATGCTTACCATTTACGTCCTGGCGTGGCCAAGTGAGACAGGATAGCTTTTCTGGGCCTGTGTCGCACATGGTCAAGAACCAAGCCGCAACACATATGTTTTGAACAAGGCGTCCTGTCAGAACCCCATCTTCCGAGGTTCTCCATGAATGTTTGGGTTGAAGGGGGTAGCCAATTTGGGTTGAAGGGTGTTCCTCAAACTTAGGGACCCCTTCAGCTTGGTTTTGTTTGGTGTCCCTTCAAATACCACGGGTCCACCAGCTTGAGAACTTTCAGGTGTCAGCTGCTGGAAAAGCGCTTCAATGGTCGAGTTCCCTACGGCTGGAGCCCCAAGCGAGCCGACGGCCCCGCTGGCCTCACCCCCGTTTCGCAGTTCGGTGGCGCGGATGGGCGAATTTTAGCGACCTCACAATGGTAGTTTCTGTGAGGAATGGCCCCATGCCTCCCAACCACCTTATTTCAGGCTGGCGAAATATTATCATTTACCCAGACATATGGGTTAGTCTCAAAATAGGAGACCCTTGAAAATGGATGGTCGTCATACATCTGCGTTACAAACTCAAGAGGACTAGACTAGGGGACTAGGGGACTAGTTGACCACGACTTTCCAAACTTGCAGCCATGTCCCCGCCAAAAGTGGCGATGTTGCAACTTGTGAAGGGGAAATCCAATGTCCCCCGCCCTACGCAGTTGCTACGTGGCACATATGTGTATGGGAGGGCGGGTTTCTGAAGATCCCATGGCTACAGGTAGCAAGAACTGCTAGTGCTCATCGAAGTCCATTCGGAATCCATTCTGAAAAGGGGTGCTTGGAGCGAGGGAAGGCACAACTGCTAGGTCCCCCAGTGCCCTTTTAGCGGTTCCTTTTTTAGGGAGGGTTCCCCCTACTAAAATAGACTACAGGAAAAAAAGGGGGACCCGCATTCTGACCTCTCTACTGGAGGAGCTAGCCTTTCAGCATTTTAAGTCTGCAGTCTGAAGGTACTCCCCTGTTTGATCCCGCAACATGCGTGTGGCCTGGGTTGGGTTGAATGTGTGCCTTTAAGATCATTGCATAGGCATCTTCTCAAGGTGCTGGCAGCAGAGGGATGCTGCAGTTGATGCAATGTCGATGGTTTTTGTTTGCAGTAGGTCAACCACCAAAAAACAGTGCAAGCTCCTTCTTGCTTGGCAATTGCAGGATATATTCTGAAGAATGTGTGTGTGTGTGTTGTCTTGGCAAGTGCCACTGGTGTTGTGTGTGTAGTTTGGTCAATCCCGCAAAGTTAGCAATAATTTCGGGCTGATATTCGCGTGAATGTAGTGGGACGCATCACTACTGGTAGCTGCTTGTATTTTGACTGATGTACGAGGCGTTGGAAGAATTCGCCGTGTGTTGCTCGTGTTGCTTTGTCAAGCATGATAGATTTATATCCGCTGCACTTGCAAAAGAGAGGTGTCCTGGGAGGTCGAAGCAATTTGTGATTCTCCTTCCTGTAGATGGCAGGTGATTGCTACTACACGTGACATGTACAATATATATATATATATAAGTATATATACATGACACATATATATATATATATTGTACATGTCGCAGCGTTGGAAGTTGGACCACCGTGCGTCAGCATTCGCATTCCACAATAGGCGTGTCAGGTTTGCTCCTTGCACATGCTTTGGATTTGTCCACCATTTCGATGCGACGGGCCTTAAAGGGGCAGCTGGTGCTTCAGGAAAGTGGCGATTGTCAGCCTGCAGCCATTTTGGCTCAAGTGCCAAGCTTTCCATGAGACAGTCCCAGCAACACGGAGGAGGAGGCTCACATTGCAGCAGAGGCCGCTGGCTCGGGGCCTCTGGCAAAGCCCTGCGCAGGAGCGTGAACCGCAGGCTGAGGCAGCCAACACCCTTTCAGAGCTTGCAGCGCCGTGGCGAAAGCGAAGGCAGTTGGCTTCTGGTGGCAAAGCTGCCCGGTCCTGTGACCAGGCTGCTTTTGGAGCCAGGGGTTTAGGTGCTTAGGCTGGTTGGTAGTGTGCTGTTGTTTCCAAAGCACATCCGACCAAAGCCTTGCTTCACTTCACGTCTGAACCTTGCCTTGCTTCACAGCGCATCCCAACAAATAGATCTTTGCTTCTCAGCAGACCTCAAGTCACTAAAACAATTTTGGGGAACGGATCGTAGGAGAACATGTCGCAACGGCCCCCCGGAAGAAAAAAGAGGTATCCCCGACCACGTGAGATTCAGCATCAGGCAGCAGCATCTTCATTATCAGCAGACACGGATGCAGACGGATGGCATGCCGCCTCCACAGCTACCTCAACCTGATCCAATTGACTTCACATCACACCTGAGACCGGAAGTTAATAGGCCGTGGTTCATGCGCAGGCGGTACATGAGGATTCATCGGGAGAACAGCATCCCGATCTGGGCTTTGTGGATGCCCTAGTTGCCTAGGAATGATCTGATATATGATATTTGTGAGAAAGTGGAAAAATGTGAGATCGCCCGAGCCACAATCACAATCAAACCTGGCATAGTTGGTTTGGCTGTTCTTCTAGTTTTGGAACAACCATCAGTTATTTGCATGCCAAGTTTGTGGCACACTTCACTTTGCTGCACTGATTGGCAGTCGAACATATGCTATGCATCATGGACCAATGCACAATTTGCATCATGTACATGTGTATGATGTACATGTGCATCACCATGCTGGACAACTTGCTGCGCAGGCTGGACATCCTGACCAAAGCTGCCAACACAGAGCGCCGCGTGACAGTCGACATGCTTCGAGAGGACACAAGGACCAAGGCCAGCGCTTGAGTCATCCTCAATGCCCTCCGCAATCATGGGAAAGCTTCGCGAGAAGCCGATGCTGACTTCACATTGCGGCTAGATACCGCTTCGCCAAGAAGTACAAGGGCAAGTCGTTGGCCTGGTGGAATAACAACGTGCGGCGCGGCACGGAGGCTTGCGCGGCGCCGCACATATGGTGCACACTGCGCACCACGGAAAGGCTTGAGCGGGGGCTATGTGAACCCGAAGAAAAGCCTTGCCTTCAACACTGGGCTGCTGCTGTGGCACATTGTTCCTTCGAGGCAGTGGGCGGGCGAAGCCGCGGCCGAGATGTACTCTGATCCTTCGAAGGCTGCCTTGGAGAAAGCCTGGCCGGTGGTCGTTCTCATGGGCCGGTTTGGTGGCGAGGGCAAATCCTTTTTCAGCGTCTTTGGGTTTGACAATGTGCAGGATTCACCCGCACCAAGCTCTTTCCCACTGCTGGGCCTGCAAAAAAAAGCTTGTGCGTCTCGGTGAGAGGGCCTTTGACACTTCAGTTCTGCCACTTCCAACCCAGCTCCTCTGCTGCACAAAGGCGCGGCCGCAGTCTTTGTGACTTGTAAGGGGAAGGGCCTGGAACCCAGTTGTGTTTGGGGCACGCGTCAGAGTGGAGCACGCTAGACGCCTGAAGACCTTTTTCTTTCACTGCCCCTTTCAAAGTGGGAGCCGCAAGATTCCGGAATGCGCTGCGCGTTTTCCCGGCTGATCTTTGACACGCAGCCTTGCATGTAATGATTGATGCGCGCTGCTTCGCGCATCCGTAATTCTGTACTTCGCCGCTACAATATTACCACTCATTCTGCGCATGCCGGGAAACTTCGATGCTCAACTTGCTTGTGGCCACCGTTGATGGAAGAAATCTTGCACGAGTTGTATAATAGCACCCTGCGCCCCTCTGCTTAGCATTGGGCTGTCACGGGCAAAAGCGCGCATATGTTGCCAATGACCTAAATCTTGCATGACCCAACACAACTTGGCCAAACGTTTCTTCGCCAGTCCAAAGGCTGTCGGTCTGGTATCTATCTGATCCTGTGCGTATATCGGGTTTTCGTTAATTCTTTTGCAATCCCAAAGGCAGGCGATGAGAAACCGTCCAAAGCTGCTCTTGATTGAAGTTTTATGATCTTCGCTTGAGTCCGCTTTGCTTTCTCTCCTACCTTCTTTCAGTTGAACTCTGTGATGGAGGTGCCGATTAGATTTGCAGAGCCCTCTGCCCTGCCCCTGAGAGGGGCGTGGGAGTTAGACCGCCCCGCAAGTCCTGCTGGTCTTTTCTTTTTATCTCTCTCTCTCTCTCTCTCTCTCTCCCTCCCTCCCTCCCTCCCTCCCTCCCTCCCTCTCCCTCCCTCCTCCCTCCCTCCCTCCCTCCTCCCTCCCTCCTCCCTCCCTCCCTCCCTCCCTCCCTCCCTCCCTCCCCCCTCCCTCCCTCCTCCCTCTCTAAACCAACCTATTTTCCAAAAGGCCACCCATGACTACAAGATGGACCTGTTATGTTGGTAGCAAAATGCCTTCTATAGGGATCCCTTTCTCTGTGTCAGTCACAGAGCGCAGGCACCACCAGGCTTTGCTTTTTCGCCGACCAGATCAACAAGGAGGCCAGGCATTGGGCAGTTGGTGCCAGGTCGCGGCGCAGGAACGAGTTTTTGCACGGCTGTTGTGGGAGGTCTTGGTCTCATTGATTTCCCAAACACGCAGCAAGCCAACCATCCATACATTGTTTGAGTTGCAGGCAGAATGTTTCAGCTGTTCCTTCTCGCGAAGCTGCCACAGCAAGCTCCGGCTTTCATCAAAACTTAGTTGCGATAAATATATATTTATTTATGTATATATGTGTAACCGCAAGGCTACTTTTTTCTTTAAATTATGTTGGCTGAGATGCCCAGTTCTGCCCACGGCATACCCCGGAGTACACGCAGAATCCGGCTCTGGGAGTTTCATACGGCGTGTCGCACTGGTGGCCGCAGAACAATCTGAGCTTGCCTCCCACGATGTCTACTGAATGATCGTTTTGACCCGAAGAACAAATGGAAAGCACGCCAACAAGTCACTCGTTCTGAACAAGTGTCTGAAAATCGTAGGTGCTTGCATGAAGCATGCTATGAAATACCTTTTGTGGAGCATGCGGGAGAGTGCTTCCTTGCGTAAAGTGCATTTGCAACCTGGCATATGTACTGTAGCTTGGAGAAATGGCGCTGTTTTGTAGTTTGGTTTCTGTCAAGAACTAGACGGACATCAGTGACCAGCGGTTCATATTCCCAAGCCAAGGATGACACGCTGCACGTCTCCTGCGAGATCCTGGAGGCCCTTTTCCGGCTCAGCAGCGCGTAACATGTTTTTTTGGAGACACATGGGTAACAATATGTGTGTTGAGTCATTTTACATCAGTGTACGTGTGTCTGTGTGTGTGTGTGTGCGTTTGTGTTGTGTTATGAGTTATGTGTTTGCTAACTATGTATATACCGCAGTTGGACAGGGGCTCAAGTACATAGGTAGCACGTGGAAACTCAAAACGAGGATGTGCAAACTCTAGCTGCGGCATGTTCAAGCAGGTTGAAGCTACCCTCCGCATCCGTTTTATTTTCAAGTGATTAATCACGTTTTTGGTGCGCTTGCAGTACAGAGGGAATCAACTGTACATGGCCTCCAGACATGGACGCATAGGTGAACGATATTTTCCCCGCTAGGCCGCTTGGGGTCCCTACCAGCGCTTGTACTTGTCCAATGTTCCCGTATCTTTCTCTTTGTCTCTCTCTCTCTCTCTTTCTTTTTTTTCTCTGGCGCACAGTGTCACCCAGCAACGCACGAAATTAGCGCAGTCAGGGGCCCTCACAACTGTCAGAAGGCCTTCACACGCGGCAAGCAGGTCGTGATGAGCCAAGCTTGGCCAAGCCCTTCTCTATGCAGGTTTTGTCCACTGCTCCATCGTTTAGCATCCCTTTGGTTTCCCTCCCTGGAATTTTACGGATCCGGGTGAACTCGCTCCCTTAGTTCCCGGACTCAAAGCTTTTTGGGAAGACCATTTTCGTGCTAGGCAAAGCAGCGAGTTACTTCTGTTGTCCCATCCACTCAGGAAGTGAGTGAAACAACATCTACTCGTACCAAGCTGTAACGCCAATTCCGCCCAACCCTGGTCCATGTGGGGCTTCTCAAAACAGTCGACCCCTTTTTGGATGAGATTTAAACAGAAATCAAGAGGAGTACCGCTTTGAGACAAACCAGGATTGTGGGATGGAGGGGTGTATCCCACTTCGGTGATACAAGGGAATCTCTCCTGGTTTCGGGGGTTTGGTCTTAAGCCCTTTTTGTTGTACAGTATCACAGTGGTTATTTCAACCACAGCCCTGATATAGCCCCATCTTACATAGCCCTATGTGTGAAGTTGCGCCCTGGCAACCTTGAGCCCATGCTTGGAGCCTTGGGACTGCGCCGTATGGGTCTTTGGTGCTGAGACAAACCCATATGGCTGTAGGTCGAAAATAGGCACCCAACATGGAACCCCGTAAATAGAACATGGGACTATCACCTGCGGTCCTCTGGTGGTTTAAATTTTGACCCATACCCGTTTTAGTACACTGTGGCTCCTATCTGTGCAACATGCTAGCTGACGAAAGTCCGCCTCAGAGGACTTGAAAGCGTCATCCCACGTAGCGAAACCCCACACAGAATCCCACTACTTGCGGGAGCAGCAACCATCCTCATATGCCCCCATATGGCTGTGGGTCAAAAATAATTGGCACCCAAAATGGAACCCCGTAAATAGAACATGGGACTAACACCTGTCCTCTGGTTCCATACCCATACCCGTACCCATACCCATATGCCCTACCCATACCCATACCCAAATGCCCCCCAAACTCTCCGGCCGACGTCAACTCCAGGCATTGCGGGAGTTAGAGGCGCCGCTGCAGCCGGCGGCGCCGCAGCCACCGGACTGGAGGAGTGCGCAAGATGGGACTCTGGGCGTCCATTGGGCGTTGTTTGTTTTGTTTGTTTGTTTGTTTGTTTGGTTGGTTGGTTGGTTGGTTGGTTGGTTGTTTATTTGTTTGTTCGTGTGTTTGTTTGTTTGTTTGTTTGGTTGGTTGGTTGTTTATTTGTTTGTTTGTTTGTTTGTTGGTGATACGATACTTAGTTACGTGTTTGTTTGGTAAAGCCTTTGTTGTTTTGTTTGCTTTTCAAGAGAAGCCAAATATAATTGCATGAGGGTGTGTGTGTGTGTACTGAGACAAAGCCATGAGCTGTTTCAACAGTCATGGGATCTGCTTAGGGTGCCCTTGTTTCGGTTGCGTTGAAAGCAAACCGAGAGCGGGCAATTGGCGATCGCCCGGCTAAACCCGAACATGTTGAACCAGCTTCCCCCCAGTCCGCAATGAAAGTGGATTCAAAATATACTGCTCCGAATTTTGAATTAAGATGTAAATCCCTATGATTGGCTGTCTTGCAACACAACATAATTAATTTTGAATTAAGTTTCCCTTTGAACGCAACCAAATCGAGATCGCATGCTGTTTGGATTTCCGGGAGACTTCGCATGCCGGAAACCCATTGATACGTTTCACATTGCTGTTCTTTTGATGTTGTTTGACGTGCGATCTTATCTTGTTGCAAGTTGCCTAGCATGCCGAATGCCTCAGCCGCTTTCTATTTTCTTGGTCAACGGCTTCTAGCCACTTCCTAAAATGTCCCCGCTTTCGGAATAGCCCGACGTGTTTCTGATTGTGGGTGTGGATCTACGAGCATGCACACACACACAGACAGAGGCAAGCACCGGGTCTTCCCTCTAAAGTACAAGTAGTGACTGTTTGGGCTGATTTGTTAGGTCGCAACGTTGGTGTCAATCCTTCTTGCATGAGCCAGGGACCAAAAGGCATGCTGCGGCACTTCTGGAGAGGGGCATGCAAAATCCTGGCAACAAAATTGCACTGGACACAAGTGCGTTGTGTTTTCGTTCCGACACAGGTGGCGTTTCGCAGATACTCCTCGTTTCAAAGAATTGGTTATTGGCTTGTTGCTTCAGGGTTGCAGCGAGAAAGCTGATGTCCCAACGATGACGGCCTTTTCATTGCCCAGAGTCAAAACTGGATTCAATGGGTCCTTGCTTTTTGGTCCTTGCTGCTTAGTGTCGTGCTGACTTTGTTTTGCTTCCAGATGAATCCACAAAACAGACTCACCCTCTTGTCCCATAGCCAAAGTTTAACTGATTTTGGTGTGTTCTATCATGTTGGCCTGTTGTTCATCAAACCTGGTCGTATTATTTGTGACGCTGTTGAAGCGAACCGCAATCAAAACAATGCACCGTGGACGTAGCAAGCTGATGGATCTTTAGACTCCCCATGGAGCAGGGACACTCCCTCATGTTCACCGGTGTGTCCTGGTTTGAGCTTGCCTAGTTGAGTGTTGTACGTTTTGCTTGTATAGATTAGCATGCATTCATCGGCTCAGTACAGTTGTCGGACGCCGTCTATAAGAACTGCACTCTCGTGTGAACATCTTCAAGAAGGTCTTCAAACACTTACCACTTCCGCTCCGCATCGCCGCAGGAAGGCCTTGGAAGAGCAGGGCAAGCCGGTTCCAGAGGCGTCAGCCTCAGGGAAGTTCCATAGATCTGACGGAGTCCCGGTTCTTCTTCAGTCATGCGAATCGCACTCATTGCAGCGTGCTAATGCTTTGGAATGTTGGAAGACACTGAGTTCTGCTTGGCGGATGAATTTGCAGCTCACCGCATACAGGCATGGGAGCCATACCGGCAGGGTTTGACCAGGGCTCTCAAGGTGTTAAGCGGTTTGAGTATTTTGTGGACTGCGCTTTGTGAAATGTGCCCATTTGCAGCGGTGACTGCGCGTGCGTGAATTGCTACATGCTTTTGCGCACTATTGCTTACAGTAGTCAACTCCGGCTTTTAGATTGAATGCACAAGACTGTCTGCACACTTCTGCTTTGAGAGTCCACCCCTGAATGAAGCAGCTTGCTACGTCTTTCCATCCAAGACTTCCGGCCGTGGATTGGCACTCCTGACGACTGCCGGCCTGTGTATTTGTCATTCGCTTGAGTTGAGGCTCCAATCCCTTATTTCTACATGCACCCTTCTAATAAGCATCGCTTCTCCCAGACCAAAGTAGAGAGGCATATGATGTATTATTAGGATTTACTAGGGAGGAGCGATGAATTTTCTTAAAATTGCAGTTTAATCATCAAGTCCTGTCTAGTTCCCTGAAGGGCATAGTTGGATGCAGACAGCTCAGAAATGCCGTCCGTAGCACTTCTCACGTCAGTTTGTTTTTGTTGCTTGTTGAAAGTTAATTCGTTATTCAAACATGTGGTAGATGCCTCGAATTCGGCAGTGTGACTGGTCATGTGTTTGTTGTAAGAGCATTGCTTAGTTAGCTAATATTTGGCTTAGCTGTGCATCCGTTTGTCCAAGCAAATGTCTTTGCAAAAAGGGCTGTATACCCTCACACAGTCGAGCACAAGCGACCCAGATACATCATGAGCATTTGCACAGGCAGACCCAAAAAAAGTTAACTGATTGAAACTGAGACACTGGCATGTTGTTCCCTTTCACGTCGAGAGGTGGATCCTGCCGTTGCCGCAGCTGGCCACAGGCTCAGAGTCGGCCAGGGAGCTTCTTCACATGGGCGTGTTGCCTGGTTTTTCTTTAAACCAATCCCAAGTGTTTTTGGTCTTGGCTCACCCATGTGAGCCATGTGAAGAAAACTTGACATGCTCAGGAATCTTCCCCTTGTGTCTTCAAGTTCTTTGCCTCTTTTTCCTATTCATACCGAGCTGAGGATCCTGTTTTACCCGCTCTGTTGGTGCAGACACTTAGTCCTTTGCGTTTGGCGAGGGTGCTTTGAGTTTTGGTTCAGTGTGGATTGGGTCTAATCTCTGCAAGGTTTAGTTGCTTGCGACTGGTTTATGGCATGGTCAAGGGTTGCCTTTCAGGCTTGTTAGATGCGGTGGGTGCGTTGAGACTCGCGTGGAACCAGAAATGAGCAGCGGTCGAACTTCACATCGGATCAGCATCTCCGCAGGTGGGCATTTGGTGGAAACTTCACCCTTGTGTCATAGGTGTCCTTTTTGGTTGGTTTGCTAAAAAAATAGAGGGCCCTTGTTTAGATGGGGTTTATTCCATTTACCAGGGCCATCTATGTTTCCACAAGGCCACCTATGCCTTACGTGCTTTGAGTTGTTGCATATTGGCGGCGTTGGGATTGCTGTTCTGTTTTCCGTTTGTTCTTCATGTGGCATCAGATATTTGTTTGGCCCAATCCAGCAAGTAAGTAAGCAACAAGCTACAAACAAGTGACACTGTGTTCAGCTAGTCCTTGCACTTCCGTTGTTTTTTCTGGTTTGAGAAGCTGTCCTGGGTGAAGGATCATAGCAGGGAATTAAAAACCGGAATGCTCCCTATAAACCATCCGCTATGGATTCCTTGGATCCCTAGGTTCATTCCCAAACCCTGGGTCATTCCCCTTTGAAGCTTTGAGGAGCTGGGCTTGCAGAGTCGCCAGCCGAGGTGACCGTAGCAACGGACCTCAACCTTTGGAAGGCACGACGGCACGACGCGAGTCCACATCCCAAGTGTTTCAAGACATGGCCGTGGAAAGGCCGGTGGGATGCTTCTTGGGAACCAGGATAATATCACGCATTTGGCGGATCATGCGGATCCGACTGGTTCTGGCAGAGACCCATGCAGGCTCTTTCAAGCTAGCATCGGCTGGGTCTTTCCATGGTTTCGATGAGTTTGGACAATGTTTGCCGTTACCAGAGCGCAGCAGCACAGCCACCAACTTGCTCTGCGAGTTGTGCTATGCCTGGATCGCGTCAACTTGCTGTGTTGTTTGATGAACACGCATTATGGTAGCGCATGTGTGTCTTGAAATGTTGGTTTTCCGGGGCATAACCATACCTGGGAGCTGCTTACAGTGCTACTTAATTAGCAAGCATACAAGGTGATTGTACCTCGATGTTAAGCTTTTGCACGGTCTGCTCATGTCTGCTCAAGGTTTAGGTAGGCACTGCAATGTCGTGTGCCATCCTTGCTGAGGTAACGCAGACTTGCACAAAGCAAGGTCCACATTTTGCAATCTTCTTCAAAGTGTTGAGATGTGTGATGGGGTGACCTCTTCGAACATGCCCACCTACTGATGCTGTGATTTCCATATCACAAATGACATGTGCCCAAGACATATATGTCGCATTAGCGAAGGCCATCTTGAGATGCAAGTTCCATGAGCCTCGGTGAAAGGCAGCACAAATTCTATGGGGCCTTTACCCCGAGCGACGCAGCCAACACGGTGGTATGTGGGTTCGGCATGTTTCTTCCATTTTGCGGACGGCCACGTCATTTCAACATGGAAGTTTGCTTGTAAGACACGGACGAGCAACTTGGGCGACATACTTTGCTTGCAATTGGTGCGCTCTTCAAATTGCCGACTGGAACATGCTAGCAGACCGCTTTGGGACTACGATTGTGTGACGCCACACAGTGGGTATGAATTGCCTGTGACAAGAGAACCTACGACCTAACATGCAGGCAGTATGTTGTTCAACTATATTGAATAATTGCTTGCTGCTAATTATTGTGATATGAAAACTGTTATATTTGTCGTAACGTCAAATTCTAAAATAGTATATAACCATGCGTGTGAGAACTAAATTTAACAATTTACGGACGATTACAAAACAGCGACGTGTTCTAAAATTGAGTTAACTAAATGGTAATATTGAGCTTGGGAACTTACCACAATTGCTTTGAAGTGACAACCTGCATGCCATGTGCATCCTGTGATTGTTTTACTGGATGAATTTGTAGAAAACATCAGCTGGCACCGCTGCGGCTCATCGATTACCACTGCATTTCTCACTTCCTGAGTTCATGGACTTCAGTCGCTTTTTGGGCTTGGACTATTTTAGTGGTAAACAAAGAGTTTAGACGTTCTGGCTAATGTACTCAGGAAGTGAGATTTGGTGTACGTCACGTCTTCCATGGTGTCAGGTCAGCTCTTCTATTCCATGCACATCAACAATCGGCTGTACGACCAGGTGCGACTACTCCGGAGCTCAGGGCCGAGTTGAAGTGCACACGAAACAACGCAATGAATGTACCACCATCCAATAAATTGTATGGCTATTTGGTTGCATTTTTGGACTTAAACTTGTTGGGAACCAGTGCAGGTTCCATTGAAGCCACAAAAATTAAGCCTTGTGCAGAGGGGTCAACAGCCACCAAGTAAATTTAAGCAGGTTGCGTCCGTAGCATTGCTGGCAGTTCTTTTGCATGAGAACATAGAAGCACAAGCACATGAGGCGATCCGCAGTCCTTGACTGCCGTAGTTCAGCTGCTAGTTCGGTGTTCCAGTTTGCTGCTTTGTGACCGATGGACGATGTGCCCACTTAGAGCGCATGGCTAAATGGTGCAAATCACAGTGACTCATTTTTATTGGGGCCGGCAGAATTTGGTCCCTTGCAGCTTACCCGTTCCAGCGTGCTTGAGGGTACCCTGCTCCCCTTGGTAAAACGAGAAGCCAAAAGGAAACCTTGAGACACACACAGACACATAATTGGATACAGTGCGGTCGGCTCGGCTCCGGGCATATGACTTTAGCATTTTTCCACACCTGGTTTCTGGCCATCCTGATGTTTTGCAGATTCGTTGCCTTTGTTTGTGTTGAGAATTCCTGGCCAAGCCCTCATGTTGGCTTGTCAGTGCAAGCGGGTTCCTCCCGTTTGCGTTGATTATTGCTTGGATCTTCTTAGGCTTATTTTTTGTGTGGGACCCTCAAAGAAGACACGCCGTGGACACAGTTTTTTTGTGTTCTGTGGTATCCTCCACAAAGACGAGCTACATGGACAAGCCTCTCAGCTCGGGTTTGCCTTATCTTGGTGGCTCCCAGCCATCCGGTTCCTTCGCTGTTCAGTTCTTTTTAGTGTTTGGTTGGGTTTCCGAACTCATCATCCACAAGTTCTTCACTTGTAGCGGGGCTTTCCATTTAACCCACAAACTTGAAAGTTATCTATTCACTTTCAGCGGGGGATTTGAGGCCACGGCTGCGCCCAGTGCTGCGTCTCTCCGGCCAGGTGAAGGACCAAGTGGAGTCCATGCGCTGTCGCCTGGCGCGGGCCCACGGATCCGGCTCTCCGGTTTTGCTTTTTGAGGGGGAGGGGTGATTCATGTTGGCCCAAAGCGCATCCACTGGCCTTGGACCGGATCTGGTTTTCCAGCAAATTTTGGGGGAGTTCCCAAGTTTCGTCATGGCAAAAAGAGATTTAGTTCCAGGTCTGAACTGGGCAAGTGAGTCATCGCAAGTGAGTCATCGCACATTCAATGGGACGAGCGCCCATTTTTGACTTACTGGTGCGAGGGATGCACAAGAAACAACTTCGTCCATCAAGGTTTCTTGACGAAGGGTGCATTTAAGGGCTAGAAGCACCACCCACCCCACATGATCCCAGCCTTTGCTTTTGCCTCAGGTGAAGACTGTGGAGTGGCGGATCGAGAAGGCCGGCGTTGAATACGAGAACCTGGGCCCCTGGGGTTCAGGTACAACCATGAAAACCATGGTGGGGTTCATATAACCACCATTGTTTATAAGGATTGTCTATCATAAACAATGGTTGGGTTCATATTTTTACCTAAGGATAGAGACTATGATCCCAAATTGGGTCCTGGCCATTGATTGAATGTGGGTTTAACCCTAGTGTGACAGTTTGCGACTCGCCCGCAGTATGATCGCAAAAGGCTGTGCAAATGTCCGAACTCTTGCAAATCAATCGACCAGATGGAAATCAGTATTGGGGCTCGCACTGGTAGTCCTCACAGCAGCACATGTGTTGACTGCGATGCCCGAAGAGGTGGCAAGGGAGAAACCCATTCCTGGGTGACACATCGTTTCATGCCTAGTTCTCTCTGAGAGAGTTTTTCTTGGTCGGGTTGGAGCATCCGGAGTTCCCACCCCCTAGTACATGGAAGGGAGTACCCCCGGAAACTTTGCGCAGACTGGGGGTCAAGTTTTTTTCTGAATCGGGGATGAGGCATTGGGGGATATGACAACAGTGTTCTGAAGAGCTGGGAGGAGCCTTTTTCCTTCCAAAAATCAATTCTTAATCCTGCCAGATGAATTACGTGGTTTCCCTACGTATGCTTCCCTAGTGGTGGTGTCCCATCACATATGACAAATTAGGAATTGGGCCCCCCGTTTCGAAGAGTCTGCTTTGCTGGCCAGCATTCCAGGTTGATGGCCACTATGAACTACCCGCCATTTTGATTCTTGGGATTCCAATTTCGGGTGGGTGTGCACATCCGAGCACGCACGCACAAACATTCCCAACCTGCCATTCTGAGCTCGTTTTTCGGGTTTCCCAAGACATGGATGCCCATCACTCCGCACTTCACTCCGCCTCCCCATGAACGGCCCGCTCACGTCAATGTCCATAGGCTTCGATGCTGCGGCGCTGCTTCCCCCCAGGGGAGGCCCTCAGCAGCACTGCTGGGGAGCCAAGCTGGGCTCCGCGAGCTTGGCTTCGAAGTCTTTGGAGCGAAGGCCTCGGCTCCTTCCTCTTGCGCGTTCTTGGGCTGAAGCCTCGGTTCTTCACCACCGAGTTGTTTGTGACCACTTGGAGGACTTTTTAATGACGGAGGGGGGCGCGCTAGGTTTTTGTTGGCGCGTGATGTTGTTCTTTGACCCCCGCTTGTCCCACCAGCACGGGCGTATGACTGGTCAGTGTGTTAAAAACGGGAGGAACTCATTTGGGCGCCTGTGGGAGTCGACTCATTGGACCCATGATGAATGGATCCAATACCCTCCCTTCCACCAACATGGCACCTGACAGGGGGGTCCCTCAAAAAATAAATTGATCTTCCAGGTACCCTCCCACACGGGTGCTATATATATATATATGTGGGAGGAAGGGTACTTCTCAGGCAGTATGTCGCAGTGTCTCGTGCCGTAGCCAGACGTGACGTGAGTTTGGGGAAGGCAGCTTGAGTGGCTCAACTTCACGGTTTTTTGTAGTCCTCTCACGTGTCTATCAGCTCACGGGCATGGGCTAGACCGATTCTGCCAATGACGAGATTGAAAGGCTCAGGTTGACGCATTGTCCCCAAGGTTTGAAGAGGACCTCGCCTTTTGTTCAGACATGCTGTTCTCGCGAAAAGAATTATTGGACGTCAATCGAGATCGAATCAGGTCTCATGGAGACCCTCATAACCCCCTTCACAACTCACCCAGCTGAGTGGCCTGCGTTGTGGTCGCTTGACAACATCAAGAGTCATCAGGCCATCCTCACAACACAAGTCCATACTGATGAGATCTGGGTTTGTCTTTTTTCAGGGGACCTACCCAAAATGGCTGGTTCCCGGTGTCCGTTTCCTTCAGCGCCTACCAAATAAGGGTACCCTGAAAATCCTGAAGCAAGACACACCCATACAGGTGTATCGTTGATTTGGATACCCCTATTTCAACAAAAGCGTAGCAGGTCAACTCCCAGGCATCAGACTCGGGGCTCGCATATCACCATAAGGAAGTGCCTGAAAAGGGCTTATGAGTCGTACATACCTTCATACTGTGGATGGTTCCGAAATCCAAAGCGTTTTTACAGTGGAATCGAACCAGACACCAGGTTTTTTGTAGGTGGTACAGGATTTCGTCCATGCACAGTATCCTCCATTCATAACTGGACATTAAGTCGCGAGCATGGTATATGGCCATGGGTCAAAATCCAAATCGTACCCCCAGCGAACATCCCAATCCCCACTAAAATCCCGACTAAACTGGGTGGCGCACCTACCAACCAAAATGGGATTCCATTGGTTTTGACCACCACAGCCACATTTGCGGCTTGGATGTTAGGTCTTCGGTGCCGCCGGTATCGAGCAGCTGCAGCTGGTCTTCTATCCCTCTGGCTACACTGGCGCCACGGAAGGCGGCGAATAAAGGATTCGGCGGCTGTGCTTTTGTACACACTTTATCATGCTTACCTCTTAAAAACACAAAACTTTTCTCAACTTTTTGGGTAACATGGGCTATATGTTTGTAAACAATGAAAACTTCCCCAGGGCTTGGAGTTTTAAGGGGTAAGTCATGCTTACCTCACGAGACATGTTGTTGCATCCATTTCTTGATTGCTGATGAGGCATCCGACGCAATTCTTGTTTTGAAATGCAAAGGACACCGCCGGTTTGCCTCTTAGTTGCTGCTCCTTGCCGTGGAACGAGTCAAAGCGGGTAAAGCATCAAGTACCCTCCCACCAATTCAAAATGCAAGCTGACAGGGGGGTCCTGGTTTGGACCATGTTCCTTTTAAAGGGACCATTTCCCTGTAAGATTCCGTGTGAAAAGGGTGGGAGGGTAAGATCATTTGCGCATCTACGCCAGGCTTCTGCTCGCTCTTCTTGAATGCCCCGGCGGGTGTCACCATGAAATGCCTGCCCTGGAGCCAAGTTGCGGATCGCCTCGCTCGCCTTCGAACTCGACTGCAAGTCATACCGCTGGACTCGAGAAAATCCAGCTGAAGTGCCTGAATCGCAGCTTGATGTCAGCCATTCTTCATAGAATCATGTTAATCCTTCTGTCAACAAGTCGAGAATGCCAACGCGTCGCGAGTCGCGAAGCAGTTGAGTTCATGTCAAAAGCCTCTTCTCAGATGTTGAGCCAAAGGAAAGCTTTGAGAAGGCAGTCTGTTCATCAAATGATGGAGTTTGTAGCACGAGAACCTGCTGCCTGAGTCCGATCGATCCTTTACCGGACCATGCATAGGGTAGTTCCTGCAGAGTGTTTCCTTTTTTGTTTGATGGACGTGTGTTGGAGTGTGCACTCTCCTTCAATGACATACGGCAGGGAGCCTTGCTTTGCAGGAGTGCGGATCACGGTGATTTGCGAGCCTCCCACTCACTATTGGTCTGATCATGGGGTGCCAGTTGGCATGCTGGTTGGCATGCTGTTTGCATCATGACAAAACACCAATTTAGCCCAGTTTTTTTCCTGCAACACACACACACACACATGCATAGAAGCGAGCCCAGCGGAGCGTGAAGCTGTGAAGCATGTGTTGTAACGCTTTGAGGCTCAGAAAGCAGGCACCGACCGTATGCGTTTCGCTTCCTAATGTTTCCATGATGCCGCAAGCAGAGAGCGACGTGTAACTTGCGCAGCTAGGTCGCCCACTAATGCCCTTTTACCAACTTAATTGGGGAGGGTTTCCCTATTAAAATAGACAGACAAAAATCGGGCACCAACTTATTCTGACTTCTCAAATCTGGAGGACGTAGGCAGCATGCCAGACTTCGTTCAATGTGTCCCAATCCGCAGGCTCGGTACATTCTCGTTGGCTGAAAGGTGGTTCTAGTGCCTTTCCGTTCGTTGCATGGGGCGGTTGGAGTTGCAAAAACCGGAGTCCTGAAATCGTAAGGATCTTTTTTCTCAATGGTAATCTCATCTAAGGGACCTCTTGATCAACCCCCAGATGCATGGGATATCCTGAACTTTTCTCAATGTTCATCTCATGTAAAGGACCTTTTGATGAACCCCCAGATGCAAAGGATGTCCTGAAATGTTTTTCTTACCGTTCGCCAGCTCTTAGGCTGCAGGCGGGCAAGGAGAAGCGCGATGCCAGTGGGGCCGGCGGAACTTAGACTTGGCGGGTCACGGATGGGTTTGGCGATTTGAACCCCGGATCTTGTAGGGGGTAGATGGGAAAGGTCTCCTTAACCACTAAGTCACCGGGCTCCAAACTACCAATTCGAGGGAAGCTGATAGAACACGTGCTCATACGCGCTGATTGGGAATAAGGTGTTTGTGCGCAACAAGTTGGAAAGTAGGCATTACTTGTGATGGCAGGATTTGGTTCATTCAATGGTTGAAAGGCTGTTTGTGGGTGTGTGTGCCTCTTGCAGAGGGCACGCCTGACTTATAGATGGCACAGCCAGTGTCTCTTGCAAGGGGTCACCCTCCACATATATATATATACACATATGTATGACTGTATACATATATATATATAAAGACAGACCTACCGCAAGCCGGAGTGCGACCACACAACGTGTTTTAAACAATGCAAGCTTAAGTTTGCTCCGCAAAACATGTGAAACTCCTCAATGGCACTCGGTTGGGGACATGTGTGTGTCTTGCCCATATATGCCCCAGAGGCTGTGTGACGCAATCTCCAACAATGCAAGTGACTTGGGCGTTAAGCCCTAGCACCTGTGGGAGGTTACCTGGCAGATCCATTTCTTGGAGGGAGCAATTCCCTGAGAGCTGCCATGGCGTTAGTGCCCTTGGGGCCTTTTGGTTCCCTCGCTATGTCAGACCACGTCTTCGACCGGCCCGGCGCTTTTGGGCGCACCAACTTCTGTCAGCCGGGCAGCCCAGAGGCCAGTGTAAGGCGAAAGGCGCCTCAAAATGGGTGTGTCTGTCTTAGGACCCCCCCCCCCCGGAAAAAAATGAAATAAAATGGGTTTCTTTTTGGTTGTCCTCTACAGTCTACAGGTCCCTTACCGCCCTTTCCTGTTGAAACTTAGTGGGTTCCAAAAGTATGAGGCCACTGTTGCAGGTGAAAAGTGCGGGTCTCTCTTTTGGTTGAGGGTGTTGGGTTTATGAGGGCAAGAATGGTTTTGACGTGGAAGCCGTCAGCCCATTGGAAAGGGCAACAGGTAAAATCACTCTGACTCATTGATCGGGCCTGGTTCAAAACCAATTGAACTGGTTGCCATCAGTGTTTGTAGCTCATTGACCTTGGCATGTTGTTGCTTGCTGTTTTATCTCGGGACATCCGTGACTTCCCGACACTAGGTGACACCCTGCCAGGCCAGTGAACAAGCTCCCGGTGCGAAACGCTCTGAAAAGCATACGCAGGGTTGCAAACCCTGGGAATCTTGGGGTGTTAAGGAGGTTTTACCTAGGGGTATCAAACCTAGGGGTGTCAAGTCTATGGGTTTCAAGTGGCTGTTCCACAAAGCTACACAGCCGAACGGAGATGTCCAGAGCCAATGGCCCAAGTTCACCCATCACTTCTCGGTGGAGCTTTTGTGGTCCACATAGAAGACGAAAGTGCACCTCTCAAGGAAGGTTTTTGATTGGAGAGGCCGTTCACCATGGACAAGGTGTGTGTCTTTCAAAACAACTTGCTGTAGGGCTGGCTGCTAGATGCGCTGCACAGCTCTGCTGAACCGGTCTTTTGTACTGCAGGACTTTGTGGGCATTCTTCCCCGCAGCGAGTTCACGCGTTTCCCAGCTTGCTTCGCTGCCAGATTCTCCGCATCTGCCAGTGGTCGGCATTCTTTTGAAATCTCCCAGCTTGGTTTGCCGCTTTCGCGCTGCATGCTTCAGAACTTCTGCAGGTCGTTGGCCTTCCAAACATATTCAGTTGTTCTGTGCAGCTGTTTGGGGCCTACACTGGTATTGCTTTTGTGGCTCACCAGTTATTTCCCAACCGAAGCTCTGGGAGAATATTTGATGAATACATACATACATGCATACATACATACGTACATACATACATACAGACAGACATACAGACACACACAGACAGACAGACAGACAGACAGACAGACAGACAGACAGACAGACAGACAGACAGACAGACAGACAGACAGACAGACAGACAGACAGACAGACAGACAGACAGACAGACAGACAGACAGACAGACAGACAGACAGACAGACAGACAGACAGACAGACAGACAGACAGACAGACAGACAGACAGACAGACAGACAGACAGACAGACAGACAGACAGACAGACAGACAGACAGACAGACAGACAGACAGACAGACAGACAGACAGACAGACAGACAGACAGACAGACAGACAGACAGACAGACAGACAGACAGACAGACAGACAGACAGACAGACAGACAGACAGACAGACAGACAGACAGACAGACAGACAGACACAGACAGACGGACGGACGGACGGACGGACAGACAGACATACAAACATACATACATACACACATACATACAAACAAACAAACATACATATGTACATATATATATATATATTATGTATACTGCCTTTACTTGCACAACTTATAGCCGATGCCTTAGGGCCAACACAATCAGCAGCCCGGACCAAAAGCACGGTGCAGTGACCTCAGTGGTGAAATGCGGGCCTCTGGAGGGGAAGTGAACTAGGTCCCCCAGCTAGGTGCCCTTTCTGACCCCTTTTTTGATTGGGAGGGTTCCCCTACTAAAATAGACAGAAAAAAGGGTACCCTTATTCTAACCTCTCCACTGGAGGACCTAGTGAAAGCCGGGATTCGGAGGGCCAAATGCGATGCTCCCAAATGCAGAGGCTGGAAAGTTGCATGGACGAAGACGACACCATCCTGATCCGACTGGAAGTGACCGCCAGCTTCTCAGCTGCCGACATGCAACGAATGTTTTGCACACTGGTGTTCAATCAACCAGGTATGCGTATCTATGTATGTAAGCATATGCCACGCACCTTTAAACCCTCTGGCGAATGGGGACAGGTGACTTACGAAAGATTCCCCTGCCACTGTGAGCAAGGAACTTGTTGGGCGGGGTCTTTGTTCTTTGTTCCATGCGCATGGGTGGGGGCCCATACATCGCAGAAGAAGCACAGGTACCCACTTCATGCACGTGATTTTTCCCAAATCACTGTTCATTTGGAGGGGCAATATTCTGGAAAGAGACTCCTGATCGAGCTTGAGGCTTTAATGACCTGGCGCTACAAGCCCACAAGTGGGCCTTGGGAGTTTGAACCCTTCAGATAGGACCTGCAGCACTTCTTTGGATTCTCAAACCAATTGCTGCGCGGTTGAAATCTGGGCCAACCGCCAACAGGCGCACAAATCTCAGGGCAGGCCTGTGGACTTTTCAGCTCCAGTTCCCTCCCGTTCTCTTGGTGGTTCCCAGCCATCCGGTTCCTAAGCTTTCTACCTTTTTAGTGCTTAGTGGTTGGATCTCCATTTAAACCACGAGTTAAACTCCCTTAGCTTCTTAGATCGTTTTAGTGTTTATTGGTTGGATTTCCGAAATTTAACCCACTAAAACAGTTCTTCACTTTCAGCCGGGGACCTGTCAAAACGGCCGGCCACGGCCGTCCAGGTCCGTCCTGTCCGCGATTGCGTTTCCGCTCGCGTGTGACAGGAGGCCCACCAGGACCTCGTCGCCAAGCTGGCGCTTCCTCCGAAGCCCGGGGATCCCCGTAACCTCTCGCAGCAGGAGGCGGATGTGGCTGGGAGGTGGCAAAGCGGTGGTACATTACTTCCATTTGCTTAAGTTGCTTTTTTTAGAAAAGCATTTCCCTTGTTGGTGTTGAAAGGAACTTATGACTACTGGATATTTTTCCAAGGGGGCGAAAAAGCATGGGAATGTCTCAAACGTGGACCCTCAAAATGGTGAAACAGTAAAGATGTACCCTCAAGCAATACACACCCCATATACCCTCTCACCAATTAACATGGAAACAAACAGGGGGTCCCTTTAAAATGAACATGGTCTTCCAGGACTCCCTGTTAGGTTTCCATGTTACTGTAAGTGGTGGGAGGGCACATTATGGGTATGTGCCAAACTAGGAGCCTCAAAATAGTGGAACCGTAAAAGGGTACCCTCCAACAATTCACTCCAAATCATAGGATGCAACTGAAGCGCCTGGCTGATGCAACTTGGAGAGCTGATGCTTGTGTATTTGGGTATTTGGGCGGTGTATGCAGCCAATGTCTGGGAGGTTGCTTGGCTTATGTCTTTGCGAGTCCGCTTTTTTTGTTTTTACCGAGCCGCTGTTTGATGCATGTCTCAGAGGCCTCTTCAGCGAACCGTGCAAGCTACAAGACACGCTTCGATTGTGCTTTCCGGGCAGACACACACAGACATACACGGACCGCACACACACACACACACCAGGGTCGAGTATCATATGGCCTCGGGCTTTATAAGGAAGTTTCTGCGTACTTGTAGTGGCCCCGGCGTGCGCACAACATTGCGCGGTGGTTCTCCTGACAGTACGGCCATACGGTCTCATTCTTATATTTCCTTCATCCTCAGGTTTTTCCGGGATTTACGCGAGGGAGCACCGGTTTTTTCCGGGATTTACCCGAGAGAGCACCCATGTGTATAGTTTTTGATGGTACCCCTTGTTCGCTGGTTTTTAAAGGGAAACCAACAGGAAAATCAAAGTCACACCAACAAGCCATCCCCCAAACTGAGATTCCCCTATGGCTTTTGGTTTTCCTGGGCGTGTTCCCCAGCCAAACTCTTCTCGTCACTCCCGGGGCTTCTTCGATCGCCACACAGATCGGAGCGCAGGGCGTGGCCTGCGGCCCTGTGATGAGCGCCGTGAAGCTTCGGCGCCAGGGCAACGTCCTGGAGGCCGACGGCCGACGGCCGACGGTCGCCAGCTTCGGCTTCGCCTTCGCCACGGGCACTGTTTGAGTGGTGCTCATTTGCAGCGGCCTTGGGCTTGGCTTGGGTAGCTCGGTGAAGAAAAAAGGGGTTGCTTAAGATGGGTCAACATGAGCTTATTGGGGGTTGAGACTTTATTGCGTAGAGTTATTTTTGGGTAGCCTATTGGCTAGATTTTGTTGCTTGTTGATGCTTCTTGGGTAGAGACTTTGGGATTAGCTTCTGTAGAGTTGGAGGTGAAGAACTGGTCCGTTGAGTAGTATTTGCTAGAACTGGGTGCTTAGAATTGGGCAAAAGGAGATTTGTAGTAGGTACTTAGAGTGAATAGTGAGCTGGCCAAGATGAGTATGGTGTAGATTGGCTGGCATTGGTGAAGATTTGCTGGTACACAGACGTGGGTGAAAGTTGGCGGGATCGAAATCAACGGCTGACAAGGCTGTCAAAGTTGTTTTGGTTTGAACAGGCTGCACAAATGTGTCGTTTTGTGGGTCCGTTTTGCTGTCACGCCATTCTAATTTGTTGCTGTTGCGTCTTGTTGCAGGAGTTCCGGAAAAAACACTCAATCCAACGGTGGGCTTTGTATTTTCTGTGTTTGGGAACTATTGAGGGTGCCCTCAGCTGGATCTTCCACCACCTGAAGGGGGTTTCGCTTTCCTCAAAAACGGGGAAGGGCAAAAGCAACCCTGGCTGGCACCATGTTGGTAGAAGCGAGCGCTTAGCAAGCTGGACATTTCCTGATCACCCAAACATTTGGGCTGCAACTGCATATGATGTTGTACTCGTTTACAGAGTCAATTCCTTTCGTTGAGTCCAAAGCAGGAGAGGAAGATGATAGTTGCGTGTGTGGCTTGCTGCAATTGCACAGATGGTTGTGCTGTTGCGGTGGAGTTGTGCGTTGTTCCTTTCTGGTAGCAAGTTGTTGCCAAGTCCAGATACAATCAGCAGCTGGTGCTGATGGGTCCTCGTGTGAAACCGGATTAGAGTTCAGTGGTCTTGTTGGACCGGCTTGGGGTTGGGCATTGACACCCACGGGGGCAGGCAGCAATATTTGTTTTGACGTGAGACTTGATCGACAGGTGCTTGTAAGGGCCTATTATGTAGAGGGCTATTATGCTTTAGGTTAAAGACCCGGAAAGACTGGCGAAGAGTTCGCGATTTGTCCGCTAAAGATTTGCGCCTTTAAACTTACAACACATGTTCTGAAAGTTGCGAGTTTGGAGCCGGAGCTGCCAAAGTGTACGTTCTCTTCACACTTGTACTGAAAGTGTCGACATTCGAGCCGAAGCTGTCATTGTGTATTTCCTTTTCTACACTTGCACTGAAATTCTGAGAAATTGCGACTTTTCCAGCCAGAGCTGCCAAAGTGTACTTTCCTTACTGCACTTGTACTGAGAGTTGCGACTTTGGAACCGCAGCTGCTTTAGAGAGGACATCGTATATTTGTGTGTACTTAACTTGGTGCATGCACGAAAGCGATAAGCCCCTTCCAAAAGCTTGATGTCCTTTACGTAGTTGGCGGCTTCAACTGACGCGCCATGTGGGTAGTAGTGGTGACGGCGATGGAGTCGCGAAAGCTAGCCAGAGCAACACTTTGTTCCCCGAAGACGTCGTTGTCGGAAGGAAACATATTGATCCTGTATCCGCAACACGTGTCCTACTTTGCTGACAGCCAGTTCATTTCATGCCTGGACGTTTACTCATACACAATGCACATGCTGGAGCTCAGGCATTTGCAGGGGCAACTGAGCGCGTAGTCAAGCGTTGCACTTCTAATTTGCGAATTTATGTCTGCGTTTGTCAAACAGATCATGTGCGACCCCTCACGTGGACAAGTTGTTGGGCTGTTGGGCTGTTGGACTTTTGGACCTTGCTTTTGCGCCCAGGACTAGCGGATAAAAGTCCAAAAGTGCAACAGCCCATGTTTCGGGGGCTCCATTTTGGGTGCCACTTAGTTTTGACCCACAGCCATATGGGGGGCATAGGCGAATTGCTGCTCCAAGTCCTGGGATTCTATGGGGTTTCGCTCCGTGGATGACGCTTTGCATCCTCTGAAACGGAGTTTTGGCAGCTATTAGGAGCCACATGGCTGTGGTTGTCAGAACCAATGGGATCCCATTTTTGGGGTAGGTGAATTCATCACACATTTTAGAACCGGGATTTTGGTGGTTGGATTGGGATGTTCACTGGGGGTGCGGGCTTTTGACCCATGGCCACATCATGTAATAAACCGGGTGTGGGTCAAAGTAAGAAACCACCAGGAATCGGAACGCAGGTTTTGGTCCATGCCACTTCCCAGGGCAAGATATTTTGGGTTCCTATTTTTGACCCACAGCCAAGCCAATAGAAAAATCCTAGCCAAAAGGCAAGTTCCAGCCGCGCCTGTGCAACTGGCCAGGACGTCAAGGTGTTGCCCTCCCTTTGGACGGTGAAGTTCGCGGATGACCCTTGCCAAAGGCGGGAGAAGATGGGCGGAGACGTGGGCACAGAAGCTACCAGGGCACATACCACGACCTGCTCGTGGGGCCCATGTTGATGCAGCCTGCTTCGCTTTCCACTGCTGCTGACTACCACTCTGTAAAAGGTCAAACTGAGCCAGGGCGGATTTGATACCGCGTATGAGACTTGAAAACTGAGTAGAAGTTGGCGGTGCTTCCATGTGTTTGTTGGCGGGGGGAATCAATTTAGCAATGTTCGACTACTGAGCTCCCGTTCGCAGTTCATGCAACTACACGTTTGGTCTTTAACCCCGCGGCACTTTGTTGCATATTATCAAGCTTTCTTGGGAGATACATGGCGCCTCGTACATTTACAGCTCGGCTTACTTGCAAAGGCCATAATCTTGACATTACGAATCTAGACAAAACTGACAGCCACGAAGCTAGCAGATCAAGCCACCGGACTTTGCCTCGTTGGGTATGTTCGGATCGTTGTATTGCTTGCTCGTGGAAATGCACCGTGGCATTCATCAAAGTTACATGCGCCTCAAATGGGCACATGCACCCATCATGCCCGGAACGATTTGTGCAGAAGTAAACCACGAGCAGGATTTCATGACCATGAATCTGAAGCGGATTGGAATCCTAGCCCCTCTACCCTTGTGATTGTCAGGCCTGCTGCATCCGCGATCCCACATATCACAAACACACGCGGACACACAGAGACAACCAGGCAAAGAAAAGACCATGCACACGCGCGCACCCACACCCACCCACACACACACACACACGCACGCGAACGCGTACGCATCCGCACACGCGCACGCACACGCACAGGCACAGGCACACGGCCGCACCCACCCGCCCGCTCGCTTTTGTCGTTGCTGCCGCGTTTCTTTTGTTCCCATAGGTGCTCTTTTTAGGCTAGGGCGATTTTTTCGACGAGAAATCGATGGGTTCCACTGGTTCTGGTTCGTTCAATTTGATTTACTGGGGCCATGGTTTTACCATAGGGACCACCTATGGTTGTCTCTGTTGCCGTACCCTTCAGGCCGCAGGGCTACCACGACTTCAACGAGTTTCGCTCCGAGAAGGCCGGAAAAGGGCACGGCTTGGCAAATGCGAGAACGCAGCCAGTGAAGCAGCAAAGCAAGACACGCATAATAGGAGCGCTGTTTCTGGTATATATATATATATAC